TGCAGTTACAATGGAAGAGACAAAGTGATCTTTTCCAAGAAAGTAATGGGAGAAGTTGCTGACGAGGCGAAAAAGTTGATGCATGCTGACACCCTTCCAAATCATTTCAGTGCTCAATACTGAAAACCTGTAAGAATGTAAATTTTTTAAGACCTATAGAACTTTTCTCTGACTCTACCTGTTTCCCAATCTGATGCGCAAGTGATCTTTTAAGATGCTACCCATTTTTGCTCTCTTCCTGGATGGAGAAGCCACCTTACATCCTTCATCAAAAGCCTTTAATTCTTCATTGACATACTGGTAGTTACAGAGAGATTTTATTTTCATTTTCCCCTTCACGGTGTCTTTAGAATATTTATTCTTCCATGTTCTCATAATTCTGAGTACCCGGTCTGAGTCACTTTGAAAATGTGTAATTTTCCAGAAGCTGTAGACATATGATTATCTAGATTCCTGCCTCTTTTGACATTTCCAATCGTCACCCAAAATCTCTATGGTATTGTAATGATCATGCTTTTATGTAGCATCTTAAGGATTACAAGGCTAATATTACCATTTCTCTAATGTCTTTTGCTTCCCTCCCCAAATATGCATTGAAGACAGAATTTTGAAGGACTAAAATAACCTCCAACAACAAAGTCTAAAAGCTCCTCAGGCTAGAAGAGTTTCCCTGGACATGGGATAAATTGGATGTTCAACTTCCCATGCCAGATCAAGGCAAAGAACTGAGCCTGGAGCCATATCAGAGGTGAGGTCTCTCACTACTAAGCTCCTGGAAATAATGTGAAGTCCTCTCTGTGTAGCTGTGTGTGCATGGGACATGAAGAAGTATCCTTATCACCATGTGTGTTGGCCAAAGGGCTGTAAGCGAGCAAGGTTTTGCATTTTCTTATTTTAATTAAGAAAAGATCCCTATGAAGACTGATTATCATTCACCTGTTGAGACTAACAGAGATATGTAGTGACACATTCATGATGAAAGAAAATTAACAGAAATATCCTGGGTGAGAAAGAACTCTGAAAGAAGCGCAACAGATTTTCCCCATCCAGGCCTTTATGACAAATGATCTTCATTGCATCAGAACAACTTTTTTTGTTTTGCTCTATTATGGAAAAGTCAGAAAAACAGAACACCCTCCAAGCAAGCACAATTAAAAATATCAGACATGGAGGTTGTTGGGAACATTGTCTGGAGGGGGTGTGTTGGATTTGACACTTGAGAGGGCTTTTTAAGAGAAAGATAAAACCATCAAGTTTTACTAGAATGAGAGGAGTCAAGATTCTCTTAGAGTGTCCTCTGCTTTCTGATGGTTTCGTCTAGAAATATGTTATGGGAAGCTATTCTAATCATCAGTCTGAGAGCAGGATGTGAAGATGCCACTAATGAGAACACCCACCAATACTCAAATGCTAACAGACTTGCAATCATTTAAAGAACTCATTAATCTAAAGAAAATACTTAGAAAGAAACTTTCATAATTAGAATTGGTAAACAGCCAGCTTTGCTAAAATGAGTGTTTCTTCTTTCTCTGGCTTGACTCAAGACACCTTGATGGATGACAATGTCTTTGATGGAATGAAATATTTTACAATAACTTTGGGTAGAGGTAAGCTGACAACTGCATTCTTTAAAATGCCTGTATTTCACAGAGCTTCTCACTAAGATTTCAACAGGTAAACAGTACGTGGTCGCTGATTTGCCTCTGGTGAGCTCTCGTTCAAAACAAATGGAGGAAATGAAGGATATTACATTATGTTTGTGCCTCTTCAGAAAGGTGTTGTGGTTCTCAAAACAATTTCTCTTTATCATCTTAGCAAACTTTCACTAACATTATCCGATATCTGAAAGGGAAAGGCCCTAACACAACAGCTCAGCAGAACAGAGACGAACAGAGCAGAGTTTGCAGCTTACAACTTGCTTGAGAAAGGGGTATCTTTAAAGGATGTTGCTTTATCTGAAAGTATTAATTTAACTGCTTAAGGAGGAAGGATATGAGAGAGTCTCTTCCCTCAGCAGCTGTGTGCAGCACCTGTTGTTTTGCAAGGGATTCACATTCATCTGAACCGGCGAGTAAGCACCCCTTGTTTTTACAGAGGATTTATAACTCCTTTTTAAGCTATACAGGCCAAAAGAGAACTAACAAATAAATAAATAAATAGTAACCCAAAAGACAATTATGACTAAATGGGTTCATTGCTGCAATGGCAGCTTCAGTCTGCTTTTTATATTAAGAAGAGATATCTCCTTCTGTTCCAATGCCTATTGGAAGTGGAGGAAATGAAGTAGCAGTGGAAAAACAGAGAATGTATTAAATGCTTATGCATATTAGGAGGCTTCCAGATAAATCCTGGGAGCTAATTGATGGAAAACAATGCACTGAGACCATTAGCCGCACCTGCTATCCCACCAGTCCTCCAGAAGCACGTGGCAATTGCAGAAACTACTTATTTACACCCTGGAGAAGCAGAGAACACTCATTATACAGCACTTCCATGTGGGCACATTTTGCACCATCTCCTGGGTGATATATATTCGCCTAAGCTGTCATAGCTGGTCATCCTGCACTTTCACTGTATTTACCAACACTTTCTAAGGGTCTCGGAAACGACTGATGGAGGAGCACAGACCTGAATACACCTTGGCACCACAATGCCTGAATCTGCTCTTGAATTCACAGCCTCATCTGCTGCCTCAGTTGCTTACTGATCCACATAATTTCTGACCTTCAAAAAAGATAAATTACTTTTGTTACTCACTTATTTCTTTTTGTTGTTTCATTTTGGATTATTCTGGGTTTAGACTTTTTTAATATTATTAAATGTGTGGTGGTCATATGATTTCATTCCCAGTGGGTTCACGGTTAGATCTGGTGGGTAGTCACAGACATGGGCAGTAAGCCACAAAGATAGGAAGGTGTATGCACATTTAGATAAACACACAGTGAAATTTAGTAAATTTTAAAGGGAAAAAAAATCCTCTGAGCCCTGATGATGCTTTGAGAAAAACTACATTTCTTTCTGGGTAAGATTATTTTCTAATCCTGAGACTGGGAATCCACCTGACAGAAGATGTGAACTCCATTTTCCAACAGCTTCTCCTGCAAGGCTTAGATGCTATTTCAAGTAAATATTCTTTTCTCTTCAGCTACTATGTGAAAATTCTGATACACATCAACAAAATAGGAGATGAAACAAAGAGAAACAGTGAGCTACATGCAAAAAGCTAAGAAATATACACACAAAGTAGAATCAAATGCACTTGATGATCTTAAAGGTCTTTTCCAATCCAGTTGATTCTAAGATTCGAAACTCTGATATGAATTTCTGTCATATTTCATTCCTAAACTCAGCATCATTTTTAGTAAAAATAAATCAACCGAGACTGGAACAGAGATTCATTTTTTTTTTCCTCCTAAAAGACAGTTCTTCCCTTTAACAGAAATAATACGGCAAAAATCATAGCAGGTAGTAATGCATTTGGGCTAGAAGGGAGCCGTGCTTCATGTATTTAATAGGTTATTCCTCACTGCGATCCCTTCTCAGAATCAACAGGGCCATACAGCAAAGAGTTAAAAAGAAAAAAGCCATCTCAAATGTTTTAATGGTAGTTTGTTCAACATCTTGCAGCTCCTAGGCATCTCATAGGCATGGTCTTTTATAAATAAAATTGTGATGGCATAGTATTATTATGCTATGACTCATGAAATTTGTATCTGCAGGGAGCTGGGGACTTTGGCTTTTTCCTCTGGGCTTTCCACTGCTGTCTTCTGGGTCAATTAAAATATTGAGATTTCTTTTCACACAAACTCTTTTCTCTCCCTTTGCTTATTCTGAGTGTTTCACTCACAGGTCCCCTGCACAACCTCATCCCTATTGTAAATCACAGCAAATTAATGTCGATGCTAGGTTCCTAAAACAAGACTGCTTTTGCCTCTTGACAACGAAACCCCTAAGCCAAATGTCAAAATTTCAAATGATAATACAGTATTAAAAATAAATCTGTTGACATCTCCTGATAAAATCCTGCAGACGTAGGCTGATGCAATGCTCCCTCGCTGACCCTTGGAATAGAAATAGCTTCTAATTCCTCATTCTGCTGAAGACTCTATGTTGAGCAGTAAGAAGTGAACAGAGGTTATGGCTTCCATAAAATATTCACACCACTGGCTCTTCATACAGAAGTTTCTCCTGAGTATGATTAATCACATGCTATTATTTGAAGTTCCTATATCGTGGGAGTTTATGTTTCACTACCATTCACAGATTGGATTATAGAAAATTAGTTTCAGATAACTGTTTGGTTCAGGTAGATTAGTCCACTCCGATTATGCCTATCAGCCAATTGAACTCCTTCTTCAAAGTGGCTGTGTCCCTGGGGTTATTCAGAAAGTGATAAACAACTGGGGAGAGTTTCTCTCCACCTGGCAGTAATTGTTCTGCAAGTGCTCTTCCCTTTTATCTCAGACAGACATTTATCCTGCTATTTAGTATAATTAAAGCATAGGTACTAATCTAAAGCTCCTACCCAGGGAGCAGTTGTCTGATGGCAGTAGATTCACAGCATTCACAACAGCTTTAATTTCAATAACATGTTCAGCTGATGAAGAGGAAGAAAAATGTGAAGTAGGTAACGACATCTCCAGGAGCTCAGTAGGCATTCACCGCCAAGACAGTCCATGCAGGGGACCAGCACAGTCAATGCCCAAAAGGTCTGGTGTCCTTTGGCAATTATTTGTCTCTAACAGTTTGGATGGGAAAGCTGGTGCATCTTCATAATACAAATGGGGATGACGCTACCCTTGTTCCAAACAAGGGATTTGAGCCCAGCACGAGAACCACCAGCTATTTAAAGCCAACACTAACCCATCTCATGTATTATTAGAAATGACCAGAAATACATACAGAAACAGGACACCACTACGTGAACACTGCTATCCTGTCCAATTAGGATTCCACTAATCTTCCAAGATAAAGGTTCATGGTTTCCCAGATCAACTTACCTCTTACGATGATATTGGTGGACTTTTTCGCAGGATTTCCAACATTGTTATTGGCGATGCAACTGTACGTGCCAGCATCTTCTGATGCGATGGCAGGTATTGTTAAAGTGCCGCCGTTCAGCACCGTCTTCTCAGGCAGGATGCCGGCAGACCTCACCCATGTCAGGCTGGGGGCTGGCTCCCCTCCTGTTGTCACACAGACTAAGGTGATCGCTTCTCCAGGGTTCACCACTATCGGGTCATCCACAAGAAGCTTAATAGAAGGTGATGCTGTAAAATACAAGAAGAAGAGAAAGGTGTAAGCAGGGCTGCACCTCTGGTATTGCCTGGTCCTCACTAGCACATTCGAGCCAACAGAGATCAGCAAAGGCACCACCAGCTACAGCGCTCTTCGCACCACTACGTGCCCTCTGAGTAGGGTGCTCCCCATCCCGATGCTCCCCTTAACACCACATTTCTCTCCCTGATCTGTACCCTGCTCGGTCATCATTCTTCACCTTGCTGTCATACTGCAGATGGGGATTTATGTACGGACAACCCTGTGGCTGTGCTTGGGAAGCAATGTATAACGTATGGGACTGGTGCCAGCACACTGGATTTTAAGCCCCGGAAGAAAGGAATTAGTAACAATCTTATTTGGCACAGAAAACATGTTGTGCTCTTCAAGTCAGATTTTACCCATTGAAAACCAGCCCTCTTAATCCACCTGCCTCCCCAGTGAACTCCTCGGGACTTGTCTGTCAACTGAGATGGATTTGTAGAGTTTGAGTTGGGTCTGTTGACTCAGGAAGACTCATATCCCTTGGTACATCATCTCCTTGCACATGAAGAAACTGACGAATCCAGCACAGATGCTTTTTTTGCCTGTATGGGATGTGAAATCTGCAGCTGACAGCACCAGCAGAAATTTGGCCACGGCTCCATCTCCTCACAGACACACAAGAAAGGTACAGGCTTGGGTCGCTACTGTTTCCATACAATATCCTATGACGAGCTGCAGAGGTTTTCTTTGGAGAGGACCACCAAACCAGACTACCTAATCTGCAGCACACGCTAATGGAAAGATGCTGCTGCTCTCAGAAAAGATAAGCATTCTATCTTTTTGCCTCTCCTTTTCCATGAACTCTTTGCATACTACAGATATAACAGGACTAACAGAATTGCTCAGTATGGAAGGCACAATGCAGGGCAACTAATTTTAGATGCTGGATTTTAAAACCACAATCTGAGCGGTGACATCCCTTGTCATTTGTGCTGAGGGTCCCACCCTTGATGGATTCAGGCTTTGCTTGAAGGCATACCCTAAACCACGCAAGTGATGAGCCTATATATAAATACATATTGCTAGCACAGAAAAAGCAGTGATACTAAATAAAAACAAGCATAAGGGTGAAGGATTGAAATTCTGGGCAAAGAATACCAGAAAAAAGTGACAATAAAAAAAGAAAGGAAATAAAAATGTTACCATCAAAAACCATATCACTATCCTCATTACTACAGAGATATATTCCCATGTGTTCTGCTTTATATATGAATCTTATTTCAATATTCAGGAATACACACTAATCACTAAAGGCAAATACAAGAATCAACTATAAAATAAGAGTTTTCTTTATTTGGAGTTCACCCAAAAGGAATTACCTTTCTCTGCACATAAATGGGAAGCATTTCATTTATATCTGCACTAGCAAGAGTGAACAGGCAACCTCCAAACAGAGAAGTATTTGAAGAGAGCAGGAGAGGAAAGGTTTACGGGCAAAACTCCCTCTTCCAGCTTGGGATCCTGCAGATAATTCCGAGGTTCATGTAACCAACTTAAAGGTGAAGAAACTGGGTGGATGGCTAAAAATACAGACAGAAAACAATTCAGCACTGCCGACTGTCAATGTCTCCTTACTTATGTCCTCTGGCCTCATATTCTTTCATCAGTTCATCCATCCATCTGCTGAGGGACCCTTGTTTTAGGATTAGAGGTACAAAACTGGGCAGTATGTCATGTTTCATGATTAGAGAATTTGCTTAGGTAAAGGTGACAGAAGCAGGGATCCAGGTACTCTCTGTGCAACTAGAACTGAGGTCCAACACCTGTAGGGTCATCACCAACCAGCAGGTAGCACACAGCTGATCCTTCTTTCTCCATCCTTCCTTCCCTCCCTCCCGAGTTTAACGATTTTTCCTGAACAGCTCTGGCAAGGAACTGTTCTCTGCTCTCACTGAACATCAAGTCATGAGGCAGGGAACAAGAGAACCACAAATAATGCTTCAAACCTTAGAACAAAAGATGAAAGCTCCAACAATGTCAACCCAACCTTACCATAATGGCCTCATAATCCTCCAGATGAAAGGGGGCCCTTTGCCATCCTTCAGGTAGAGAGACAAAGACAGCAGCTGATGTGATAAAAACGCTGTGATACATTCCTTTCATCACAGCACTCAAAACAGTAAGTACATGAAAATTACGGTTTGCATACAGCAATTTCTCTTTAGTTACACCACACATTACACTTAACTACAACCTATCTCACTAGACAAACACAAACAAAAATTCAGCCATACACTCAACTACTACTGTTGAAAGCCAGATCTAAATCAAAGAATATTAAGAAGTTCAGAAGAGATATTAAGGTTTCCTGCAAATGAAACTCAGTATAGCATGTAAGGGGTCAAATGCCTATTATGAAGAGAATATAGATCCACAGCAACAACGAGCTATTATTTTATTTCTTTGCTTGAAACCCTATACATGTGCTGCACTGTATAGCAATGCATCAATAACACAGAACCTCTTACTTTCAGCTTTAAGATGCAACTGAGGATAGAACTGGGTCGACTGCATGGCTTGCCTGGTTTACTGTCATGTAGACATTGCCAAATTCTGGCCTAGGAATGGAGAGATTGGAGGTTTCCTGCTGGTCACTTGAACTTCATCCTTCCACTGCTGAAGCACACTTAGCCCCACCACCAGCCCCACACTCGCCCAATCTCTGACAGCGCAACCTCCACTCCCAATGTCACCAACATTGACCTCTCCTCCTTCCAGTCAGGGATGAGGAGAGGTGGAACTCAACACCCATCTGCCCATGCGCCAAACATGAGTTTGACAGCTGTGATTTCTTGTCACAGCTCTGCCTGCCTGTCAGAAAGAAAAGGGGAAAGAGAAAAAGAATGAAGCAAGGAGAGTTAGCCAGGGAATGAAGGAGACAAATGGCAAAAATCCCAAATGCTCAATAACTCAAGCGATGTGCTCAGATACAGTGGGATGGCAGAAGAAATGGTTTTAGCTCCAAGTTAGAGTGCTTGTGTTCACTTTCTCTACATCTGCCTGGACCTACATGTGGAAATGAATGGGGGTAAATCAGAAGATTAGTCACGTGATGGAATACCTGTATTAATTGACTTGGGTTAATTAACAGTATGTAAGCCTTCTGCAGATCTGCTTAACTGGATAGCTGCTCTGTTTGGCTCCAAATCCCAAACTGGAGAAACCTCTAGCTGCTCCCTACAGGATGCTGTACACAGCAGACTCTTCCCACAGACTGGGAAACAGTCTGTAACAAAGCTGCAGCAGAGGAAGGAGTAGTAAAGGCACAGCAACAAAACTCCACGTAACAGCAGGGACAGTAAGTCTTGGACTAGGCTGCTCAGGGTTGCTGCAGAATCTTGCTCTTCCAGATTTTCTGAGAAAACATCTGCTAGACAAGGTTTAGGACTAGCTCCTGTTTGAGCTAGAGAAATAGTGCTCACTATCAAGTGATATCTCTCCCTGTTCTAGTTTCAATGGCAGCAACAGCTACTGACAAAAGGCAATTCCTCTTATCTACCTTGAGTTATCTTGCAAGAATCTTTCCCTGTGGTCCCCATCTCTCTGGTGACTGCAGACAAAGTCCAAAGATTAGTTTAATCTAAAGGTTAAAATTCAGATGGCAGAAGATGAGTGACATCAGTCCTACCTTTAGGATGATGATTTACAAATGCAGCAGGAGCCTATAGATGGGAATGGGCAGAAAGTGCCAATAATCTACAGTAACAATATACATGTGCCAGCCTCGCATTGATCCCAGTGTTTTGCAAATCTATTTGATCCTTGCACTTTCAGAAAATAGATTTTTTTGCCTAATCCTCTCTCTAAAATGGATTTCTTCTCTCTTTTATTTGTAAACTTCTCGAAATCAAAATTCTCCTCTCATTTATTTGTAAATTTCTGAGGCTAAGCACCACATACAGCATAAATCTGAAATGTGTAATTTGTCGTCACCTTTTTTTTTTTCCTGGTCCAGCATGATTAAAAAATGGAGTAGACATTTATAAAGATGACAAGATGATCCAGAGCAATTATAATAGTTGATGATTATACCAAAATGTTGTTGAAGGCTATTAAAAACCATGCTTCAGGGCATAAAATGTATCTTTTTTCCTGGAATGGGAGGGCAGACTATCCCGTGTTTGTCTACTGCACACTTTTTATGCACTCTTCTGAAATGTCTGCTGCTGGCTCTTGTTAAGGACAGACAAGAGATCTGATCCAAAAGGACAGTGCATGTGTTTATACATCCTTTGTATTTGTAAAGCATCTGGCATGACTGAACGCTAACTAGGAGACCCATGATGCAGTCGCGGCAGTTCAAGCTGTGATATGTGTTTAGATAACAGGAGATCATGGAATTGAGTCAGAAGGAAGAGGAAATAAAGACAACTCTCCCTCCCCCCCTTCCAAAAAAAAAAAAAAAAACAACAACAAAAAAACCCCAAAAACTGACTTATTAAAATGACACTATTGCAAAAGCCAGTACATGCACGTGTGCATTCCTGGTACATGTCTGAAACACGCTGGTTTTGCCTTTACTGCATATGTTGCTTTGGGGAATCAGGCTACAGACACCAAGATACAAGTGGTTTCCCAAAACCACTGGGGGAGCAGACACACAAGTGTGAGCCAAGTTCCCTTCCACCTGTTTTTCCAAAACAAGGCTAGAACCAATACTGACAATTTGCCTGCTCAGTTTTTGAACAGCACAGACAGGTAACCTAAGCTTTTTGAGGCTTATGAAGACCGTCACATCCTTACAAACAAGTTTTCACATGGTCCCAACCAAGATAATTCAAAAGGATGCATATTGCAGTGACAATAAGCCAGCAGTTTATGCCTCAAATCTTGATTTTATTATTTACATTTTACAGAATTTAGTTTTACCAAGCAAGGTGCTTTGTCAGTTGCCACCTTTATGCAGGGCTCTTCTTACATGAAAAGCACTTCAAAATCAAAGTGCTTC